CTCACTCCAGAAAGAATAGCTATTATCAAGAAATCAACCACTAACAAATGACTGTTAAAAGGAACACTTCTCTACTGTTTGTGGGAGTGTAGACTGGTGCACCTACCACAAAATCAGTGTGGAGACTCTTCAAAAGACTAGGACTAGAGGTCCCAGGCACACATTCAATGTGTCTTCCCAAAAGAATTAAAAGCACCCATCCACAGAGATATGTCCACTCACGTTTACAGCAGCAGTTTGTAATAGCTATTCTTGGAAGCAACATAAATGTCCAACAAATGATGAATGGACAAAAAAAAAATGTGGCTTTTTTATACAATAGTTCTACTCAGCCATAAAGATGGATAAACTTGAGACAGTTATAGCTAAATGGATGCCCCTTGAAAACATACTCTTCAGTGAAACAAATCAGGCACACAAGTCAATATTGCCACGGTCTCGTTGGTATAATAAAATGAATGTGTAAATAAGAACAAAAATGTATTATAAAAACTGAAACAGGAAGAAACTGTTCAAAAAAAAGGGGAAACTGAGAGGGAGGCGGAATGAGAAATGAAAGATAAAATGGAAACAAAGCTTTATAAGTAAGACAGGAAGAAGGGTTGAATGGAATGGAGGGGAATAGGGGAAAAAGGAATCAAAATGTATCATGTATAGGTACAAATTCCCTATGATGAATATAATAATGATGTGTATCTAAACAGTACCAATGAACTTAATTTAAAAAATTATATTATTTGAGAATAAAAACAGACTAAGGCCAAACATTTCCCACTTGTGATGGCTTCTGTCTAGATGTCCCCAAAACCTGAGATGGTCAGAGCTGGGGCTTTTCTGAAGTGTCTTGATCTAGCGCTTGGGACATTGGGATTGACTCGTGATGCAATGTAGGACCAAGGGCACTAGGAATAAAGGTGTTAATGCTACCCACCCTAAAGGCAGTTAGCCTGGCTAAAATGTAAGAGGCAGAAACAGGTTTGTCAAGGGCTGCTTGCTTGCTTCTGTCATCTGCTGCCACCGTGAACTGCTTCTCCTCTGCAATGTCCCTTTGACATACCACCCTGCCGTGGAGCCAGTCAACTATTCTACAAACTGAAGCTAAATAAACTTTTCCTTCTTTCACTTTGGGTATCAGGTATTTTGTCTCAGAAACAAGAAATATAACTAAGACCAGTGATGAAAACATACATACTTAAGCCAATAAGTACAAAAAATAACTACAAAGAAAACATACATAAACCTATCACAGTCAAACTACAGAAAAGCAAAGACAAATAGCATATTTTAGCAGCCACAGGGAAAAATTATGTTTGTTGTTGTTGTTTTTTTTTTTTTTCATTTATGTATTTGGTACAGAGTCTCACTACACAGTTCAGACTCATCATGATCCTCTGGTTTTCAGCCTCCACAGCACTGGGATTACAGGTGTGTACCACCACGCCCAGACTCAGTCACTAGCTCAGTGCTAGCCCTGGAGGTGGGGCCAGCACTGCATGCCAAAGCAGACACTTAGTCCACTGAGCTATCTCATGGGCCCTTATTGCCTTTTAAGGAACAACATAAAGACTGATGGCTAGGAAAGGGGAAAGGGGTAGAGTGGAGCGTGAGGAGTAGGGAAGGGAGTGGGAAAGGGAGGAGGGAGGGGGAAAGTGGATGGGAGGGAAGGTAAAACACTGGAATGTCATAATTAACATGCTCAAAGAAAAAATTGCTAATTTAAAGTTGTATGCCTTGAAACAATATGCTTGAACAGAATATGAAGCTCCCAGCAGTGGATGACAGGGAAAGTGGTCATATGAACCCTACAGCATAAAACAGTGAAAACCTGATTATCAATAAAAATGACTTAAAGCTACTAGAAAGTTTAAAAAAAAAAAAAATTAACAGAAGCCAGAAGAGAATTTAACACTGAAAATCTTTGAAGAAATAATAGCTTTCTGGCCTAAGGGTATTCACCCAGGTACCATGGAGAAAGTCACAGAAAATGAGTGGGAAATGACAATCTCCCAGCTACAGGTTCACAGAAGACAGTAAAGAGATAGAGAAGCAATGAGAACTCTGAAGCAGGTAGCTCTTACAGTTAGAGGACAATAAAATGGTGAAAAACTCTGTCAGTTCTGCCCAAACCCTGACTGGCATCTGAATAAAGGAGGAAAAATCTGAAGGGGATGTGGTGGTAAGGTTGTAGAAAAGCAGGTAGAAACCAGAGACAAATCTAATTTTAAAAACAGCCTATAGGGACCAGTTCTGTGAGACTGCTGCTTTCCCCTCCAACCACATGAGCACACTCATCAGGAGCAGTTTCAGCAACAGGAAACAGAAGTCCTACCTGCTTAAAGACTCTGTGGACAGAACATGAAGTGAGCTGTACAGCCAAAATTCAAGAAAAAAGTCCTCAGAGGCAAGGAAACAATGCAGGAGTGCACTCCACCTTTGCCTATAGACAGTATATAGGATCAAAAAACAGTGATGATTGCTGCTGTGTGGCATCCAACAGAAGGGCCAGGGATCTGAGCAAGGTGTGGTGCCCACTCCTGAAATTCCAACAGGAAGATCACTGTAAATTCAAGGTCAGCATGGACTACACAGTCAGTTCAAGACCAACCTGAACTACATAGCAAGACCGGGTCTCAAAAAAACAAACAAAAAGGCAGCGATCTTCAAAAAAAGATGCAGCATACTAAGGTATTAAGGTAGTAAGCACCTTAGTTACAGTGTGTGACAAATTTCAGCTTGTTCAATGCAATCAGTTGTGAGCAACAGTTGAAAGTGTTTTAAGGTGTGCTGGAAGTCAAGGATCACAAATAACACACTGACATAAAATTCTGTCAATCGTACTGGAGTTGTGCAATCATGCTGCTTTGGATTTTACCTTTTAAGAAATGCACTCAGAAGAGAGAAAATCAGTGTCTACAGTTATGATTCTGAAATAAAGACATAGCACTATCAACAGAAATCACCCAGTTCTCATGCAAAAATAAGTGGGTCGATCATGATCCAATATCAAGGTGATACTGATTATAGTTTTTGATCTTGACAGGAGAATTACTACAAGCCTGAACTGCACAGTTGAGACCATGTATCAAACAAACAAAATAATTAATTTTTAAAGCATAAAAATAAAAAAATAAAATTAAGAAACAAAATTGAAAGATATTAAAGTAGATGGAAAAAAGAATATATTTCAGAAAGGAAAAAATAAAAGTTGCTGGATACAAAGTCAGATATATAAATTGGTTGTATTTATACAACAAGCAATTTTTATTTTTTGTATTTTTTGTATTTGAGTACGGGGTCTACAGCATTTACAGGGTCTCACTATGTAGATCAGACTTGTAGTGATCTGCCTGTGTTCAGCCTCCCCAAAAGTTGGGATTACACACATGAGCCACCACGCCCAGTCTCGCTGCCTCAGCATGCCCTGGGGGAAGGGCTGGCACGGCAGGGCATGCCACGCCAGGGATTGAATCCCAGATGCTGCATCTGCCTAAGCAGGCACTTCAATCTGCTGAGCTATTTGGTCGGCCCTCATTTTTATGATATTATCACAAAATCAAAAATATCAAAAACTTAAGTCTATAAAATATGTGGAACTCTTATATACAAAAAACCCTTCAAAATAGTATTAGAAAACATACAGAACATCTAAATAAACAGACAAATATAGCATATCCACAGAAAGGAAAACTGAATAGGACAGACACCATTCAACTGTCCCTAAGTTGATGCACAAACGTAATGCAATTCCAGTCAAAAACCCTAGGCATGCTTCTGCATGGAAGTGCAATCTAACAAGCTGCATCTAAATTTACATGAAAACATAAAGATTCAAGAATAGCCAGGTCAGTGTTGTAGAATACTGCGTGACAGAAGAGACCACTGTTAATAACTCAATTATCACAGGTAGCCACATCTGAAGTGCTCTGTTCAGCAGAGAGGAACAAAATCAATTTAAATAAAAGGAAAGGCCCAGAGTTGGGGTAAAAAGTCATATGTAATAATAAAAGTACCTAACTGCTCTTTTACCATTTAAATAAATGGTAGAAACTTCACTTTGTTTACCATGCATAACTACAGTAGAATTCACCTTGTTCTAGGTAGGGAAACACATCGTCTTATTTGCTCAAAAAGATTCCTGAGACTAAAAAGAAAGGGAGAGGAGTACAATATCATTAACTTTCCAGAGGGTGTAAGTTTTTAAAAAAGAGTTTGGGACACTACACAACTACATGTTTTTAAATTTCAATTTACAAATTTCCTATCTGTAGCATATATATATATGCTTATATATATATTATGAATTCCTTTCCCATGAAAGATTAAGACTTTTTCAAATACTCTTATAATTACAGCACTGCAACTTTATATATTCTGTCAGAGGCATAATATAGCTTCCTATATACAAGGGAGCTAAATGAGTATCTTCAACTATGTATTCTTTCAAGGACCATGATCTTCAACTTTTACAAAGTTAAAAAAACTGTCTGAAGGGTCCAGTGATTCAGTCAGTGGAGTCTGAGTGACACCCATGGGTTCATTAGGTTAAGGCTTGGCCCAGGATAGTGTCACTGGGACATGGCAGAATGCTGCACAGGTGGGCCTTAGGAGATCCTCAGGTCACTGAAATGTGCCCTTGACAGGAATTCTGAGGACCCCACCAGTCTCCTCTCTGCTTCAGGTCCAGATGTGACCATTTTGCCATTCTGCTTCTACATGTACCCTTTTTCTATCATGCTGCCATCCTTTTACTGCACTGGAACAGAGCTGATGCCTTTTAACCTCCAAAGCTGTGAGTTCAATAAACTTTTCCAGTTTTTAAGTTAGTAGATGCCTCTGGTATTTTGACGCAGCAAAGTACAGCTGATTAACACAAAGGGCTAATACAGTTCATCTCTCCTTTTCTACCCATGCGGAACATTAACACAACATATTTATTAACACAATATATTTATTACTTTCTATGGGAAGGATACTATATTTTCAGCTACTAACTATGTTACCTTTGCTGCTAGCTGTAGTCCAATTTTATCAGCTTCGGTTTCCAACGTTCTACTGTATGGTCTATCAAACATATACTGAGAAGAAACAGAATAGAAAATTTCCATTTAGGCAATTTATTATGACAAAAGGAATAACAAAGTGAGGGTTTTCTTTTCTTTCTAATGTATTTGATACAGGGTCTGACTAGGCAGCTTGCACTCATCGTGATCCTCCTCTTTTTAGCCTCCCCAGCGCTGGGATTATAGGCGTGCACCACCATGCCCACATTCAGTGGCCGGCTCAGCGTGCCCAGAGGTGGGGCTAGTTCTGGGATTACAGGTGCCAGGGATCGAACCCCAGTCCCTGCACTTGCCTACACAGGTGCTTAGTCCACTGAGCTATCTTGCCAGCCCCGAAGTGAGATTTTTTTAGAATTTATTTCATGGAGTAGCTAATATAAAAATTCTACACTCTACAATTAACACTTAACACAATAGTATAAAATATACATACAATCTTTATTTTCCCCCATCAAATTAGTACTTTAAACACATGGAATAAACTAGAAAAAGTCATTCCTATGAATTTCTGGAAAATCTTCTAAGTTAGTTTATGTCTATTATTACAATCTTCAACCACTGAATAGAGGGTTCTCTGAGAAACCTTATTAGTGAGGGCTTTTAATATGGTCAAGGAACATTATGATCTTGTATTTTTAAATAAAAATTGAAAAACACGTAAGTATATAATAGCTAATGACATTACTAGAGGATTTATTTCAGTAAAGAAATTAACCATGTAACAGAATGTTCTTTCTTTGATAAATTAGCTTAATTTCATTTTCCAAGTATTGATTAGTTAGGAAAATAAAATTTTCTTCTTACTTCAAATAAAAAATAAAATAGATATAGCTTTAATTTTCCTGATCATTATTATTATTTATGAGAATGTTTTCCAGTTAAATTGTAACTATAAGTACTAAAATTTTACGAGAGATAGATCAATACATAGGCAGGACTTTTCAGAAAAGGTTATTGAGAGAGCAATTTTTCAAAGGCAGGGATATGACTGTGACTAGCAATGATCAATCTGGTTCATAGTACATGTTATGGTTTGTGTCTAGTTGTCCCCCAAAAAACCTCATGTAAGTTATGCAGCAGATGCGGCTGGAGAAGCAAGTGGCTTGAGGGGCAGGGCCAAAGGACCAGGGTGGAACCTGAGGGGAGGAGCCAGAGAGGCACGAACCATTAAACTGGCTAGCCTGTGCTTTCTGAGATGTGGAGAGGGTCATCCTGGACATGGCAGCACCCCAACCTCTCCTCCAGGGTCTTGAAACCTCCAGTAACTGTAAGCTAAATAAACCTTTCCTTCCTTCATTTTGAGTGTTGGGTATTTGTCCCAGCAACAAGAGAAGAATAACAAAAACAGAAAGTGACCATTAGATAGAACCTTCTTCCTTCTCAATTATGTCTATTTTAGTTTGAAGAACTAAGCCACATAAGGTCTCATTCTCAATGAACAGTCTGCATGTACCCCATCCAATCTACCAATCATCTACTGACTAAAAATGCAGACTTTCAAAGGACAGCTGGTAGCATCATGTGGAAAAGGGAGCAAATAATAGTGTCAAACTCCCAGAGCTGCAAGGAGGATTCAATGTACCAATAATAAAATTTGTATCTGTTGAGTCCTCACTATGTAACAGATAGTGAGGCAGTAGTTCTTAACCTGATGTGACTGTGTCTTCTAAGTGTTGGGAGATATTTTTGACTGTAAGAGCTGGGACTGGGGAGACAGTGGCATCTAGTGGGTAGAGGCCAGATATGCCACTAAATATCCCACAATGAGTGGGACAACTTCCCACCACAAACAATTACTCAGTTCAAGATTCCAGTGACTCTTAGATAAAGAAACCATGCCCTCAGTGTTCTGCCATCACAATGTGACTGAGTGGGAAAGGAGCACACACATTTCCTGCTCTCTAGTGGCTCCACCTTCACCATTCCTTTATGAGCTTCCATCACACAGAGAAAAAAAACAACTGCCCAAAATTAAGGTACCTAATCCCTAGAAGGGCCTCAATGGAGGATAAAAGGATGCAGAAATCATCCCTACTTATTTTCAATTTAATTGTTAAATTGAAGAATTATACTCAAGAAGTAGGATTCATCAAGTATTTCAAGACACAATAGCTAAACTAACTTTGCTATAAACAAATGTATAGGCAAAAGGGGAAACTACATAAACTCCTTTGACATCTTACTAGTCCAGCAACATAAGTAGTATTAAACCATGAGGTCCTCTCAACCAGTCTTCCTGTATTTCAGAACTTTTATTTCCATATAAATGAAGTCAAAGGATATGGCAGAAAGAAATAAGAGTTATCCATTTCAAAAGCAATTTGTTTCAAAGAATTTTGCACATTAGATGTGAACAGCACCCAGCTGCTCTGATGGGTGCTCACATATCATTAAACAAACAACAGACTGCTCCTAAATAACGAATATCCTGGGACAAAGGGAATACCTCAAGATGTAAACTAAAATAATTAATCATGGTTAACAAAGCAATTACAAAGATCTCAAGGAGTACTCTTGGTGATGCACTGTTCTGAATAAAATGAATAACCATGTTTGGAATTATTATGATTATACATACACACTAACAACAAAAATTAACAAACCCCTAGTGAGACTGTCCTTTCAACATTCCTAAGCAATGTTAGTTTAACAGGGAGTAAGCAAGAGAGGAGGATGGCAAAGCACCTTCAGCCAATCCCAGGAGTATTACAGCTTAAATTCAGAAGCTTCTTTAGTAAGTTCCCCATTAAAATGCAAATGTCTGGGATAGGATAGTCATTTGACCATGACCACACAAGGAAGAAAAGGGTCAGCGACTGAGTTTTCTCCCTGTCTAACCAACCACGATAAAATAACATAGCTGGGCATCATGGTGCACACCTGTAACCCCCGCCAACTGGGAACTCGAGGAAGAAGACCACAAGAAGTTAAAAGGCATCCTGGGCAACTTAGCAAAAATCTGTCTCAAAATAAAATTTTAAAAGGGGCTATAGTTCAGAATTCCCTGGTTTCATACTCTAGTACTGAAAAAAAAAATGTATTAGGCAAAATTCACCACACTCTTTTAACCTATTACTGTGCATTATCCACAAGATGTATTCTTTAATTTAAATGTTCATATGCAATAATATCCTCTAAAAATGAGAAATTATGACATTAAATTCAGTACATCGATTTCATGATAAAACATGAAAACATCCATGGTATTTGTTGCTTTACAGTAATAACATAAAATCATCAAAACAGACCACTATAAATTCAAATTTTTACCTCAGACGTACCTCCTGCAATTTAGACTGTATCCACTGGCCCAAAATTGCCAAACTATCTCGTGAACAAATGGCCCAAATCATGGTGAGAAAAATCATACCTAGAAAATCCAATAAATGAACCATACTAGCCTTTTCCGCCTAAAAATAATCAAAATAATGAAAATTATGGTTAATTTTAATAAACTGAGACAGTATATGCTTATATTCTTTAGTTATCATATCACGTGTAGTCACATTAAATAACACATTACATGTGTTTAACTGCCCTTCACCAGTTACAATCCTTAACTTTTTCCTTTAATGTGCTTCTCTGTTCTCATTCTGTTCCTTTCCCTTGCTTACAACTTACATAGTCACTCATACATGTAACCAACGTACACCATGTCAAACTAATCAGTCAGAAACAACGACAAGTTCATTCATTTGCAATTTCTATTAACACAATCTATGAAATAATTATTCTTATTCTACAGATAAGGAAATTGAGATGGAAAGAGGTTAAAAGAATAGCTCAAATTTTTACAGCTGTTAGTGAAATGACTAAGATTCAAACTCAGGCAATTTTAGTTTCTGATACAGTCACTGTATCCTTTTAAATATCAAATAAACATGATTACTGTATTTATATTTTTGAGAAAGACTAAACTCTTAAACAATTCAGAAAGATTGCAAGTTTATTTTAAATAAAAGCATTCTAATCTTTATAACTAAATATATGAAAGTATGATTTAGTTATACAAGTAGGTAATTTAATAAGTTCAGTATTTCTCAACAGAGAATTGAGTTCAATGAGTTTTTGTACTTACTTATGGCAGTAACCAAGATAGGCTTACCATAAAATACCTTCCTATTTTATTTTTTAGACAAGAGAGCGCTATATAATGCAGACTAGCCTCAAACGCACTATGCCTTGCCTCAAGCTTGCGATCCTTCTGCATCAACTTCCCAAATGCTGGCCATCACCACCATGCCTAGCTTGAACATAGTTGTTTTACACTGTAACATCTAATTTAAGTTTGCTGCAGTGGATTATTCATTGTTCACTGTTGAGTTGATTGGTAAATACTAATGTCATACTGACGCTGAACACAGAGGTCACTATCTGAATATATGCAACATGGCTAAAACCTAAGCCAATGATTTAGACTATGCCCTTTAACATTATGATCTGTCCTCACAAAAATACAATTTGCTTCATTATAATAATTGTATGCTGTGAAAAACAATTACAGAATAATTTTAACACAAAAAAGTTAAACTCAAAATGAAGTCATTATAGAACAAAAAGTCCTCTCTATTATTAAAGACTACAGTTGCTACGATGAAGTCTTAGAAATTAAAAAATTTGTGCAGAATGAGAATATAAAAGGTTAGACTGACTCTAAATTGAGAGTCCCAAAACAGAAAACACTGTTGATAACAAGCACCTCTGGCAAAGAAATATTAATGACTATTTTCTATTAAGACTGCTATTTGCATTTTCCATCTCGTCTAATTATAGTTCTTGCACTGAAACAGATGACAATACAATGAATATAAGGCATGGAGCTACATGTCAGAAAACAAATGTACTACACAGTAACAACTTTTAAATGCTCAAGAGAAAAAGTTTGATTTGTTTTTGCAGGTATGACACCATACTGGAGAGATATGAGTTCATAAAATGGCACCATCAATTGCTTAATTTGTTCTTGTATATATTTAACAAAAATATTTTTCAAAGTTTCTTATAATTCAGAAGAAAGAAAATTATTAACTGTGCTTCAAAAAATGCGACTTTTTCATGACTTCCGGTCATAAAAATTCTCAAAACTAGCCAATTATATTTTTCAGGTAACAAAATAAAACATCTCATTATTACTCTAAGATAAGGCAGAATTAGAGGTGACTTTTAGAAAGAATATAAACATTTTCATTTTCATTTAATGTTAATATTACTTACATTTCAAACTTGGAATTTCACAATTCTATTTACCTTCATATTTCCAATTAAAGAAAATACATTTCTCTCTCATGTGGACAAGGGCCATTCTCATTTTTAATAAATAAAAATTTTTAAAGGAGTAAAAAAATATGTTTTCCTGAACTCATGCCAAGTCAAACTAGACATGTATAATCTCAGGCACATAAATCACCCCAAATTCTATAAAGAGTACCAGCAACAACCAGATAACAGTGTTATCTGAAAGGAAGGTGCCAGACTTGCACGCAGAAGACTTGGTGTAAAGTCCCAAGTCAGACACTTTGCTAGGTAAAGTATGTTAGCTAGTCTTTTAAGTATCAGTTTCCTCGCACGTAAAACAGGGATAGCAAACACATACACTTCATGAAACACTGAAGTTATGAATGAGAAGATATACAGTAAAAGGTCCAGAAAACTGCAAGATGACAAGGTATTATTACTCTTCACTAATTATATACTGCAGTTCATTCTAGACATTTTCAGAGATATTCTAAGCTATCCTCTGATAAACAAAAAAGAAAAACTGATTTACCCAAAAAGTAACATTACTTTCCCACGATTAATTATGCTAACTAAACAAAAAAGGGGATACCGATGAATGTCCATTTTGTATCTGTGTATTCAAAATGTATTCAAAAGGATAGATATATAGTTACATTCTCTTAACGAATAGAGGGATTTGTTCTAATAGTGTTTGTAAATAGGATATCATGTCTGCATCTTGTACAACAAATAACCACTAGGAAGAATGTATGCAATGTGTTAATTATTGAAACTGTCCTATCAATTTGGTGTGAAATTGTCTCATTGCTATTCGTTTCTCAGTAAAATTATGGGAAAAAAAAGATTATGATGACTAGATTACAATCATGTTAATAATTATGGAGTTAAAATCTAATTTGAAATTCGAAAAATTATGGAAAAAAAACACTAATGAAGTAGAAATGGAGAAAACTGAAAAAAAAAAGAAAAGAAATAATTAGAGATTGAGGAAAAAAAATTTTAGCAAAAGAGACAGATGATAAAATGGTATTTAAAACAAACTCTAATTATCCAGTATCAAATACTTCCGGTCATAAAAATTCTCAAAACTAGCCAATTATATTTTTCAGGTAACAAAATAAAGCAAGTTACTAAAAACTAAAATTCCACCATTGAAAAAAAGGAAAGAAAACTGAAAAAAAATGCAGTTCTTTAAACAACTTTTCAACTTCAAAGCATTACTTCAACTGACCACTCACTTTAAGTACTTACAGCATGCCCAAGTATTGCATGTGCTATTTCATGGCCCAGAAGGAAGGAAAGCTGATGCATATCGGTTACACTATTTAAGAGCCCCGTGAAAATAAATACTTGTCCATTCTGTATTATAAAGAAAACAAGGTGAGCAATTAAAACAACATAAAAAATAAGGGCATTAAATTTAGCAATAAAAAAATGTATTTGAAAACATTCACTTACTGGTAGCACAAAAGCATTTACTGTATCCGGGGAGTCAACCACATGAATAACCCAGTTGATCTCAGAGATTCCTGGCATATCCTTATTGCATTCAACTAAATGATAAACCACTTCTTTAACTGTTAGATATCGAGGGTCTTTCTCAGTTAGCATGTCATCTTTAAATTCTTCCATCAACTGAAACATTAAAGCAAAGTATTCTTATTTTAAAAGTTTTAGCTCTATAAAATGTTTATATTAGGGCCGGGGAGATGGCTTAGTGGAATAAGCACTTCCCCGGCAAGCGCAAGGTCCTGAGTTCAATTCCTGGTTCTGAAAAAAAAAAAAAAAATGTTTATATTGCTTCATGGCTGCTTAGTGTTGAATATTTTAATTATGTAAAAATTTATATACATTGAATATACAAATTTCTTGAATTTGAATTATTCATGTAAAGGCAATGTGATTTCTCACAAAGGAATAAATTCCAGTACTAAGATTTTTCTTATAAATGTGTTGAAATCAAAATTTCATTCTTTTAACCTGTCCACATGTAAATGCTTAAATATTATTTCTACTTCCTTAAGTATTTCAAGAAACAAAACACTGCCTATAAGCAAAGACTTCACATAAAGAGATACAAAAGAAAATTACCTTTATAACCCATTAAATAGAAAAACAGCCTCACCTGAATATAAAGGTTAAACTTAGGCCCAGAAAGGCTATTTCATTAATTTTAAAGTATAAGGAAATTACTGAAATCTCAACTAGGCATATCATTTTCTCTAAATGATATTATGACTAGCCACAGTCATATTATGTACAAAGACACTTTTTTATGAAGTTATATTCATGACAAATCCTTTCAAAGTGATAGAATTAAAGGTATTCTGAAAATATTTTACTTTCTATAAAATGTGTAATTTCACATATGAATCAACAAGTTAGTAACCTTCTTTGACACGCCACAAAAATGCATAATTTTACAGAATATGAATTAAAAATACTCCTTACATCAATTAGCATTTTAAAGCTTATTCACCAATGTAAGCTGCCTGAAACAAAAGTCCAGTATTATTAACCTTTGAGTAGTTAAGATTATGTATAATCATAGTTCTTTACAATATTTATAATGTGCTTGAATTTTTACATCAACCAGGTACTACATGTGTAGATTAAATACTAAAGAAAAGTATGTCTTATTTCCTTGCCATCTAATAAACTAAATTCTAAAAGCTATTTCAAACCTCTCTATATATTCTACTACAAGAGATTGATCTTAGCTTGATTATGAACAATTTTACAGTGAAAAGCCAGTATCATTTCTCTTTTTATTAGTAAATTTCCTTTGATAAACTCTAAAGCTTAGAATAAAAAGATACAAAGATCTAACTGTGTTGAAGCTGCCAAGTGAAGCTTACAAATGACAATTCAGGAAAAGAAACTGTGCACACACCAGGGATATGCTGCACACTACACAGAATGACACACTCCATTCTCAAAGAATTTACCAGAATTTACAATGCCTAAATCCCTGAGTTATTATACTTTTAAAGGGGTGAAGATTTCTAAATTGCAACTTTTGTTTTATATTCAAAAAAATACAGTAAGTTGCCCAAGTAAATAGTTAAGTTACCTTCAAGAAAGTGATTTGAAAGAAAAGCACAGCAAATAGAGAAGGAAGTGGGAGAGTTAATCCCGAGCACCAAGCGTGCAGCCCATCAATGAGTGTGAGCTAGCTCACAGTTCATTTTGAACAAAGAATACCTTGCAGGGCTTGTTCTAGGGCCCTGCCTAAGCTATTGTGAACCACCAAGGAAGGCTTCCTGAGAGAGTGACAGCAAACAGAACATGCTGGGCTGGCATCAGCAGGGCAAACGGGAGGAAAGTAGTAAGAGAGCAGGAACAGTAAAAGTGAAAGATATGAGGCCTTCTGGGAACAAAATACTAATTTCATATCAGAATCTAAAATTACAAAGTAGTACATCTTTCATATTTAAGAAACTCTGCTGCTTTGCGTGTTTAAGAAATCCAACAGTTCTTACTACTTACTGCTTTATATTCCAGTTCCGAGAGAAGTCTGAAATGCTCCTTCCCCAACAATAGTAGTTTGCTCCTTCCTGTGATCGGGCTTACTTCCAGGTGAGTGAAATAAAACACTACAAATAACAGCCCACAGGTACTCAAACCAAGAAACAGCTTCCACTTATTCTTCCTCACGCTCTCTCTAAATAGTTCCTTTCTGTTAGGAGGAAGTGCCTGCCACCATTTTCTTATGCCTCTAAAGTAAAAGAGAGAAGTGCAAAGTGGTAGTAATCACAGGAGCACACTGAAACGCAGAAGCACACCCTAGAATTTTACAGCATTAAACACATCTTTATGATACATGTCTCTGCGAAGATAACTTTATAAAATTATTTGCCAAATGGTGAAAGAGAAACAACTATATAGAACCATAGATAAATATTCTGAAATTATAAATTTCTTCTTTACCTATTTTTAGGACAAACATTAAATGAGTAGTTATAACTATCACTAATTAACATTATCTATCTACCACATGCAAAGGACTCTTGTCATTATACACATGTCATCTCATTTAATCTTCTAAAAGCTGAGTTTTGGAAAATGAGACAGCACCTTGCCCAGAGTCACAGAGGTAATGAGAGAACAAGGCAATGAGGATATGGTGTGCAAGAAGAGATGACCTTGCTGAGTCTAAGCACGTAAGCATGGAATAGGGATAAATACCCAATAAACATCTGAGGCTTACAGTGAAAGATCTACACCTTTAACCGCTATTCTCCCCAAGACTTCTGGCACAATTTGCTAGCGTCTCAGCAAAATACAAGGGAAACTACCTCCGCATTAATTTTGGCAATAAGTGCTTCTCAGAAGCAGAAACTGCATTGTCTTTCTAGCAAGAATAGGTAGCATGATGAGCTGCATTGTAGGTAAGGAAATGGACGATTCTATAGAGAATGGATGGGAAGATCCAGTCTCTACCAGGTAATCGCTACTGCTCAGGAAAATTCAGAAACATTTTGACAGCAAGCAATGGAACAAAATTGTTCCTTGTGAGTTTACATGTAAAATAAATAAACCATAATAAAAATTTAACACATACATTTATCATTCTCAAAAATTCACTTCACAGAACAACTTCTTTCAAGTTTTATCAGTTTTACTAACTGATTGCTACAGTCTGGAAATGACTCCCTAAGGCCACTTATTAAAGCTTGTCAGCCTAAACCACAACTGGAGGTGGCAGAACCACTAGGGGAGCCTTGTGAAGGAAACTGGGCCACAAGAGGATGTGCCCTTGAGGGGACACTGGCACCTCAGCCCGTTTGTTTCCTTTTACTTCCTGGCCACCATGAGGGGAGCAGGCCTCCTCTGCTGTGTATCCCATAGTGTACTGTGCCACCACAGGCCCAAAGCACCAGGGCCAGCAACCATCCAATGAAATCATGAGTCAAAATAAACTTTCTTCCTCCTCCTAAGGGGATTTTCTCAGGTATTCTGTCACAGTGACACATATGAAATGCCTTTAAACAGTACTTGAACCAAAAGAGACATAAATCAAACTGTGAAGCATATTTATTTCCCATTTAAAATTTCATGTGACATTGATTTACAATGCATCTAGAACACATTATAAATGGAAATTTGAGGCTGGAGATATAGCTCAGGAGCATAAGGCAAGCACAAGGTGCTGAGTTTGATCCCTAGTACCACAAAAAAAAAATTTTACAAATACATAAAAGGAAATTTTAGGTGGGCTACAACTATAGTAGCAACATTAAAAATGAAGAATGTAAAGAACAAAAATACACAAGAAATCAGAAAGCTATCATTCTAAGGAATAAATACAGCAAGTTACAAAGGAAACATTCTGAACTTTTTATTAAAAGTAAAATAGGTGGGCCGGGGAGATGGCTCAGTGGAATAAGCGCTTCCCTGGCAAGCACAAGAGTCTGAGTTCAATCCCCGGTTCTGCCAAAAAAAAAAAAAAAAAAGAAAGAAAAAAAAGAAAAAGAAAAAGAAAAAGAAAAAGTAAAACAGGGGCTGGGGACATAGCTTAGTGGCAATCTGGACATAGCTATCTGGAAAGCACAAGGTCCGGAGTTCAATTCCCAGTGCAAAAAAAAAAATGGGTTTCCCCTAAGTAACAACTTAGAGGAAAGTGAAGAAGGGTAAGAAGTCACTTCACAGTTGTACAATTTAAATCTTTATGAAGAGATGCTGGGCATAGTAGTGCATACCTGTAATAATCCCAGCACTCCAGAGGCTGAGGCAGGAGGACTGTGATGAGTTTGAAGCCAGCCTGGACTAGACAGTGAGACCCTGTCTTAAAAAAAAATTACTTTTAAATCTTTATAAAGAGATACCTTTCTTCAATCTTTAAGAAATAAGCAGGTTTCTTAAAAAAAAGCAGTAGTACCAGTATTTAACCATAAATATTGTAATTACTGGTGGGTTTTTTTTTAAACCCACTAAGATAAAATAAATATTTCTGGAAACAGAATAGAAAAAAACAAACACTACTGGTTTAAGAGTTAACTTAACTAGGCATGAGATCTTACTTACACAAGTAAGATTCCCAGTTTAAGGATTCACTGCCTCAAATATCACAAAGTACGAAAGCAATATTTGTAAGTTCTGTTTCTATACATGAGTGTCTTGGTTACTTTTCTCTTGTTACTGAGACAAAATACCTGACACCCAAAATTAAGGAAGAAGAGGTTTACTCAGCCTGGTTTGTGGAGGTTTCACTCCATAATTAGTTGGCTCCAAGGCAGAGTGCCACAGCACAAGGGCAACTGCTCAAGGTGGCAGAAGACAGCAAAAGCAACAAGAGGAGTGGCAGGGGGAGCCTCTTTTCCATGCTTAAACTGTATGCAGGCTGCCCACCGTAGGGTGGGTCCTTACTTGCACACCATATCCATGTAGTCCTCTTGCACAGAATCAGGATGTTTATAAAGTAGGACCCTGGCCCCCTGTTGAATGTCTTGGTTATAAACTTCTCAAGTTCAGCATCAAGCACTAAAATTAGTTATGACAAATGCTTCTGATTCTTCTTACAATTGCAAAATCTTTTTTAAAATGTCTAGATCAATTATGTAATAACTTTTAAAGATTTTCTATACTATAAATATGAAGAAAATTACTTCATGATTATTAACTCTTACATTCAGGGGGTAGGACCTACTGTTTATTAACTTAATTTTATGCAAAATATGAGAACATAGTATACATTTATAAATACTTAAGCATTTTTAGTGTTTTGAGAAAGGGTCTCACTATGCAGTGTAGGCTTGACTATGAACTCACTGTGTAGCCCAGGTTGGCCTCAAACTCACAGCGATCCTGCTGCATCAGTCTCCCAAGTGCTGGGATTACAGGAATGTACCATATGTCTGGCTTAGAGCTTAATTTTTATTTACTATTATTTCTTATGCATTTAGTACAGGGTCTATAGGGTCTCACTACACAGACTGGTCTTGTAGTGATCCTTCCTGTTTTTCAGCCTCCTAAGAGCTGGGATTACAGGTGTGTACCACCACACCCAGTCTCAATCACAGTCTCAGTGGGTACCAGGAACAGGGCCAGCATGGCAGGCCAGGGATCGAACCCCCAACCCCTGCATCTGCCTAAGCAGGTGCTTTAATCCACTGAGCTATCTGGCCAGCCCTTACTGCTTAATTTTTATTAATTAGTACAAATTGATACAAAATGTGAATGTAAAGCTTAATAAAAATCAATACAAATATAAATACTTCAAAAAATTACTTTACCTGCCCACAATGATTGCAAATAGTTTCTGCAGTGGCTTCAGAAGGATCAACAGGAGAGGAACAGGAGCAGCTTGAACTCGTGAAGAAGTGTGGAAATTCCTCACAGATCTTAAAGGAGATAACATCAGAGGGCACCCAAGAAAAACTGCACCCTCTTTAGTTAATGCCCATCTTGGAAAAGAGTCACTCCAAAAGAAACATTTGTGGGTAACCACCTGAACATCCTTACATTGGGCCCTTGAGAAGAATCCTGGTCTTCTGTTATAGAAAGTCCTGTCAAAATGAAAGTCTGCAGGCGCAAATGTGAGCCTGTCACACTGATGTAATAACGTAAGCCCCTGGCACCTGTTTACTAGATGGTGCCTTTGTGACTGATGACAGCATGCTGAAGTTACTGCTAGTGAGTTCCACTTTTTCCAGTTGCCCAGTGGATTCAGCCGGAAAACAAAAGAACTTCTGGTAGTAGACAGCAGTCCGTAAATGAAACTCATCTTTCACTTGATTATCTGGAACATAAAAAATAAAACAAAATCTGTGGAAAATATTTATTCATCAAAATGGGAATATAATGCTTATGAATCAGATGCCACACTTGACCTTCTTTGATACATTATCTTGGGTTACCCTGCTTCTACAGTAGGGTCTTTCAGTAATGCCATAAGACTGAGTATGACATTCTACTGTACAAAGTCTACACTAGAAACTTGGATTTTTTTCACTTCATTTTTAATTTTTAGCAGGAAGGTGTCTTTTATTTTCACAGCAAACTATTTGGAAAATAAACAAATTGGATTAAAAACAGTAAAATTTTATGAGCAGTAAAAGAGAAAAGTATGTAATAGTATATAAAATTAACATCTTTTAAAGCACAATTATTTTCTTTAAACAAAATGCTAGGAATTCTGACAGGGGAAGAGGGAATGGATTTACCATCCTACCTAAAGCAACTAGGAAAATAGAGCATATAAAATAGTGATTTCAACACATTAGACAACAGGCAATGATAGGCTGAGAAATGGGAAACAAGACGAAAACTGGGCAGAGCTCAGTGGTCCCCTCAACTGAAGAGATGAAGCTGGGAACACCAAGAGCCCCGCATAGCTAGTAGACATGACAGAAAAACTAGAGAAGACAGACATACACAGAAACAAAACTGAAGAGGTCTGTAGAGAAGCTCTCCCTCCTATGAGCTGAGTCCTATCAGGGCATACATGTGTAAGAAAACCCCAGTGCTTAGAAAGAGGAGCTGAAAAGACTCAAGGGTACAATCACAGGACTCACTGAGGGCAGAGTTGTGTCTGTTCCCACTCACCAAAAGCAAAAACACATTATTCACAGGCACTGGACAGAGTACTCAAAAAGATTTGGCCTCAATGTTAATGAAAAATCAGTCCCACAATGAAATTTATTTTGACCTGAACAAAAGAGATCAAATTGCTTATGATTAATAACCACATGCAAGGGCCAGCCAAATAGCTCAGTGGATTAAAGCACCTGCAAGCAGGTGCAGAGGCCAGGGGTTCGATCCCTGGGCCTGCTGTGCCAGCCCCACCCCCAGGATGCACTGAGACGGTGATTGAGACTGTGCGTGGTGGTGCACACCTGTAATGCTAGCTCTTGGGAGGCTGTAAACAGACAGATCACTAAGAGTCTGATCTAGTAGAGAGACCCTGAACACCCTGTAGACCCTTCTCTAAAATACAAAAAAAAAAAAAAAAACACCATCCTAAATCAAGGACCAGGGAGATAGCTCAGTGGCATAAGCATCTGCATGGCAAGTGCAAGGTCCTAAGTTTGATCCCTGGTACAAAAAAAAAAGAAAAAATCAAACTTAACATGATACAATTTACAATTAAAAATTACCAGGTATGCGAGCAGTAGGAAGTGTGATCCATAATTAAGAGAAATATCAATCAATAACTCCTAAATCACACAATTGACAACATTAGCAAAAAAAGGCACTCATGTAATTGTATTCCACATGTTTAAGCTTAATCATCCTACATGTCCATCAGCAGATCAGTACATAAACAAAACATACTGATAGGCCACAGAGTACTACTTTGCCATAAGAGAGGATAAACGAGTCATTTGTAGGAAAATGGATGCAACCTGAGACCACAATGTTAAGTGAAATAAATCAAGATGCAGTTTCCCTTAAATGAGAAACCCAAAATACTAACAAAAGCAAAATAAAACATCAGAGGAAATAGGCAGATCTCTTGAAAATTAGAAGGCAATTGAGAGATGGAAGGAGTGGAGAGGAAGAGGAGAAGGAAGTTCAGTTGTGTCCTGCACATGCACCAATTCCCCATAAGGAACACCATCTTCATGTACTATAAAATGTACTAATTTAAAAAACCTAAAAATAAAAAATGTAGCAATTAAAACCTGAAACACTAAATCTACTGGAAGAGAAAGTAGATGGAGATAGGTGTATATAGAGTTCATGAACAAAACCCAGTCATGAACAAAACCCAGACTGCAGGGCTGACCAGACAGCTCACTGGACCGGGATTTGGTCCCTCCCATCAATGCCGGCCCTGCTCCTGGAGCAGGCTGAGATAGCAACTGAGACTGGGCATGGTGGTGCGCGCCTGTAATCCCAGGGCTTAGGAGGCTGAAAACTGGAGGATCACTGTCAAATCTGTTCAGTGAGACCCTGTAGACCTTTACTAAATACATTTAAAAAAAGAAAAAAGACTGCATGGGAAATGCTTCAAACAACCAACTGGGATCTCTGCTTTTAAAAAGCTTTGCACAACAAGAGATAAGAAACAGAAAGAAAAAACAATCCACAGAGTGGGAAAAATTTTAGCCAACTGTCCCTCAAAGGACTTCTATCTAAAACACATAAATTGAAAAGTATCAAACCCCTGAAATTTAAAGACCCAATCCAAAAATGGGCATCTTGGCTAGGGAGATGGCTCAGTGGAATAAGCACTTCCCTGGCAAGCGCGAGGGCCTGAGTTCAATCCCTAGTTCGGCCAAAAAAACAAACAAAAGCAAAAAATAAAAAAGCCTTCTATCTCAAAAATGGGCATCTTAAATGAATATACACTTCTCAAATGAAGTACAAATGCCAAATACATGAAAAAAATGTTCAACATCGTTTGTTATTAAAGAATTAAACAAGAAATTAAACAATATGTACAATTCAATGAAAATTCAAGCACATCATACTGGAATTGGTAGGATGCAATGATAGCAGTTCTAAGAGGAAAATTTATAGCTCTGAACTCACACATTAGGAAAACAGAACAAGAACAAATACGCTAATGTTGTAACTCAAATGTCTAGAAAAGGAAGAGCAAACCAAACCCAAAGCCCAAAGATGGGAAGAAATTATAAAGATTAGGGCAGAAATTAATGCAATGGAGACAAAGAAAATAATACAAAGAATTAATGAATCAAAAAGCCGGCTCTTGGGGCCGGCAAAATCGCTCAGCAGATTAAAGCGCCTGCAAGCAGGCACAGGGACTAGGGGCTCAATCCATGGGCCTGCCATGCCGGCACCAACCCCAGCGCGCCCTGAGATGACAATGGAGACTGGGTGTGGTGGCACACACCTGTAATCCCAGCTCTTAGGAGGCTGTAAGCAACCAGATCACTATGAGTCCAATCTAGTAGTGAGACCCTGAACACCCTGTACACTTTTCCCTAAAAAACACACACACAAAAGTAATAATAATAAATATATTAAAAAGATAAAATAAAAAATCTGGTTCTTTGAAAGATTAAATAAAATTGATAAGCCCCTAGCTAACCTCATCAAAAAGATGAAAGAAAAAAACTCAAATTCAAGCAATAAGTAATGAAAAGGGTGAAATTACCAGACCCTGTGGAAATTCAGATCATCAATCTGAATTTTAGAATTGTAGAATCTTTACTCTCACAGAATCAAACACAGAGAAAAAATGGACAGATTCCCTAGAATGGTACAAATTACCAAAACTGAATCAAGAAGATATAAGAACTCTCAATAACCCAGTAACAGCCAATGAAATTCAAAATGTAATAAAAACCTACCGAAAAAGAAAAGTCCAGGTCCTGATGGATTCACAAGTGAATTCTACAACAAATTTTACAGAAGATATAATCTCAATACTCCTCAAACTCTTCAATGCAACTGAAAAGGAAACAATTCTTCCAAAATCATTACTGGAGGCAAGTATTATACAGATACCAAAACCAGAGAAAGATGCAACTAAGAAAGAAAACTACAGGTCAATCTCCCTCAAGAACATTGATGCAAAAATCCTAGCAAATAGAATACAGCAAATCATCAAGAAGATTATACACGGGGCTGGAGAGATGGCTCAGTGGTCTAAAGCACCTACTTGAAACAAGTTTGGCAAAGCACAGGGACCGCGGTTCGATCCCCAGCACCACATGCCAGCCAGACCCGCCCCCTGGTGGGCTGAGCTGGCCACACACACACACAATAAATAAATGTAATAAATAAAAATAAATAAATATTTAAAAAAAGTGTTCTTCTAAAAAAAAAGAAGATTATACACCATGACCAGGTAGGATTCATCCCAGAGATGCAAGGATGGTTCAACATATACAAATCTGTAAATGTAATACATTTATATCAGTAGAGCCAATACCAAAAACCACAAAATCATCTCAATTGATGCAGAAAAGGCTTTTGACAAAGTTCAACACTCATTCATGTTCAAAGTCCTACAGAAAACTGGAATAGATGGCCTCTACCTCAATCTGATAAAAGCCATCTATGAAAATCCAACTGCTAACATAGTTCTAAATGGGGAAAAACAAATCTTTTACTCTTAGATCAGGTACAAAACAAGGATGTCCTCTATCACTACTCCTATTTAATATAATTCTGGAATCATGAGCTAGTCATTAGACAACACACAGAAATAAAAGGAATAAGAATAGATAAAGATGAAGTTAAAATATCATTATTTGCAGATGACATGATACTCTACTTAGAAGACCAAGAAGTTACTAGAATTAATACACAAACTCAGTAGCATAGCAGGATAAAAAGTACACAAAAGTCAATAGCAGAGAACAAATGCACTGAGAGAGAAATTAGATAAACAATACCTTTTACAATAGCACTGTGGGAAAAAAAAATACTTAGGAATTAATATAACTGAAGTAAAAGATTTATTCAATGAAAATTACAATACGCTGAAAAAACAGATTGTAGAGGATTTGAGAAAATAGGAAGATATTCCCTGCTCCTGTAGAGGAAGAACCAATATTGTGAAGATGGCTAAACTTTCAAAATATTTATACAGATGTAATGCACTCCCTATCAAAATACCAGCAGCATACCTCACAGATCTAGAGAAATCATTCTTAAAATTTATTTGCAATCAGAAAAAAACTAGAATAGTAAAGGTAATCCTGGGCAACAAAAACAAGGCAGGAGGCATTACAATTCCTGACTTGAAATTATACTACAAAGCTACTGTGATAAAATCAGCATGGTACTGCAAAAAAACCCCAAAAAACAGATCTGAAGATC